CACCAGTTCTACACCTCCTGTCCCGGTGCTTAGGACCAAAGGAACAAGTTGCGTGGGGAATGGAAAACATGTTATCTTGGCCACAGCGGGAGAGCTGTGTGTGGCATGGGAAATATCACCTCCCCTCTCTGGACTTTAGTTTCCCTAACTATGAAATGCAAGGATTGGATAAGCATCATCTTTTTGATGACTGCCAGCTCCAGTGGTACCTGCTTCTACGTTGTGAAGCAGGAAGAGGTGAGATTGGAAAGGTGGTGGCAACCGGTAAGTGGCAGGGGTGGGTAGTTGAAGGAAGACTCTGAATGCATGACTGAAGAGCTTGAATTTTCTACAACAGACAGGGGAATCAGTTCAGGTTCCTGAGAAGCTGGGAGAAGTAATGGAAGTGGTGTGAGAGTTAGATCAATCCGACTAGTGGGTGGGACTGGATTCAGGGATGTCACACATACACAATGATAGGAAAGTCCAGGCAAATATCTTATTATTTTTGCCTCCCATGAGGGAAAAGATGAACTCTGGTCTTACTGAAAAGAGCCAATTAAATAAAAAATTGTAAGCCTGAGGAAAAATGCAGGGCTTGACTTCTTGGAATCCTCCAGTAGTCATCCTCACCCATACCCCTGTGTGAGTGCAGGCCTTTAAAATTTCCAAACAGTTTTCACAGGTGCTGTCTCATTTCATCCCCCTCAAAACCCAAGTATTTTCCAACAATGAAAACAGTCCTAAGCCAAGGCCAAGAAGCAACTAACCAGACTCTTTTAGGCAACCTGGCTGCTTTAGAATTTCATTATGGAAAGGTTCGCTCAGCTGATGGCTGCTCAGAGGTACTTTTGGGCAGTGAGCCATGAGCAGTGACACATGGAAGTCTACCTCCTGGGGTCAGCTGAATGGTAGATCCCTGACCTCCTAGACATCCTCTTGAGTGTATATTGACTCAGTTATGCGCCCCAACCTCTTGGGAGATGAGAGCCTCTTCCACAGCCTGGTGCGTTTCAGGGCCATTATCTTCTCATCTGAAGATGGAGTAGGCATCTGTCACATGGGAGCAATCCAAAGGCAAGGAAATAGGTTTTAAATAACCTGACAATTCCTATTGATAAGTGTGTCTACTTACAGTGTGGTGTTAGTTGATTAGGATCCCAAGACTGAACTCAGTCTCTGTTATCCATGTTGGCCATGGGTATAGAAATGGAATAAATGGTGTCACAGGTACTCGTTTTTGCTGTGCCTATCCTTAGGGCTTAAAAACCCCACCCATGGATTTACCTTCACCAAGGTGTTTTCTAATTTGCCCGGTCATTAAGTTAGTACAATGCCCAGTTACTACTATTGCCTTCAGCAGGTCCTTCATCAACTGTCTGGAAGGCCATCTCTAATACTCTCTCCCTTCTGGGTTATGTGAGGCTTCTTTGCCGTTCACGATGGAGTGATATTTTTGGCAAATCATGATTTGGCTGCCAGCATAGTATGCATCCTCTTCCTAAAGCAAGGTAATCCTAATTTTGGCAGGGAACAAATTGTTTCTTTTGGGAGCATGATGAGGCCTCTTTCATAAGTTGTCATTTGGATGCCAATAGGTTATAGCCTCAACAGTAAAGTTCAAGGCAAGGGACCGGGCTTCTAAATGGCCACCTGGCAAGAGCACTGAAGTTTGTCCCCAAATTCACTGGGATCTGGACTACTTTCCAAAGTAAAAAAAAAAATCTATTTGATTGCTTGATGAGGTTTCAGCCAGTCTCTAAAATTTGCAAGTTTTGACTCATTCACTTTGGAGATAAATTTTCATGTATCTTTGCCAAAATCCTACAGGATTACCACTGTCCCTGCAAATGCACAAAATCTCAGTGTGAATGATCTCAGTTTAGTTTGTACTTTCTTCATCAGGGAAATTCCAAACTACTGCTCAATTTTCCATTGTATTAGCAAGTAATGCGAATCTTAACTTAGAGGAATACTTGTCTCTGAGCCAGCTTTTAGCTTCCTGAGTGATCATCATGCTCAAGTTGCTCCTCCAAGATACCACTGGAGTCAGGACAGTTTTGCCTCTAAGATAAACATTAGTATGCCCATATCTTCATAGTGTACTCTTACCTAATACTAATCCCTGATTTCCTTTGCTTAATTATTTTTTTTTAACTATTCAAAATTGCTTTGTAACCTGACCTCACCTTCATAATTATGACTCCACATATAGAGGCCTCTAATGACTTCTTAAAGATAAAATATCATTTTGCAGTCTTTTTAAAAAAAGATTTTATTTATTTGACAGAGAGAGACACAGCGAGGGAGGGAACACAAGCAGGGGGAGTGGGGGAGGGAGAAGCAGGCTTCCTGCCGAGCAGGGAGCCCAATGTGGGGCTCGATCCCAGGACCCTGGGACCATGACCTGAGCCAAAGGCAGACGCCTAATGACTGAGCCACCCAGGTGCCCCTGCAGTCTTTTTTTTTTTTTTTATACAGACATATACGCATATTCTCTCATTTTCTTGATATATATCACATGCTACCTTGGACCAGTAGTAATCTTAGTCATCCACCCGATCATTCATTAAATATCTGTTGAGGAACTTCTATATACCTAGTCTAGTTCTTATCCCTTTCTAGGCAGATTAAAAATTATTAAGGGCACTGATCATGTCTTGTGTTCTTTTTTGATTCACTTTCATTAAGAACAATACTTTGCACATAATAGATGCTCAGTGTTTGTTCACTAATTAAATTCCATTTGTAACCATATGTCAAATCTGGTGGGACCCTGTGTGTACATTTTTCCTTTAAAAAAATCTCCAATTCATATATCAGATGCCATAAACATTGCTCTACACTCTGAGTGTATTGGTTTCCAAGGCATCTATTTATTTTTATGCAATTATTAAACACCAGTCACTACAACACATAAGGGAATAGGCTGAAGAGAAAAAGAAGGCCCATGAAAATTTTTTTAAAAAAGGATATCACCTTATAAACTACCCTTGTTTCATGAGAGACTTCTCTTGCCTGTTCAGAGCATACCTTCATATCTTTTAAAATATTATTCTGAGAATGTAGTGGATGTCATATATCTATGGCTGTACAATGAACAATTATTGATCAATGTGGTAAAGTTGAGCCAGAAGAGCTAATTGCAGTTCTCTTTGCCTCCATTTTTTAAATCTGTAAAACAGGAGGAGAATTAGCTGTCTTATCTACCTTATAGGTTTTGTTACATACCCAATACTATAGTGTTCTTTATAAACTATTAAGCACTATATGAAAGGTGAAACCCTGGAGTTGCCTTTTTGGCAAGGTTTAGGTTCTATGAACAGTATTTTAGGTGCAAATCACATACATCCAAAATTACCCTTTAAAAGAACTGAAATATCAAATTCAGCCCAGCTATTTTTTTCCCAGGATTGGAAGATATCACTGTTTCTTTGGTTGAACACCAAATGAAGAATTGTATTTAATTTCCATTTATGGGTCATGTTACACAAAAAATATGCCCTAGAGAACTATCAGTACCCTCAGTTCCCTGAAATGCTCACACAAATAATAAGCATGTGGGAATGGGGACCACTGAGTGAAGGAATAGCAGATTCACTTCTCACATCTCATATTCTTTATGAACTAAAACCCATAATTATGAACTTCTTACAAATGGTTTTATAATGCATATTTCATTGGCTCCTACCTTTGCCTGCTGATACAGGACCTCTAGCTCGTTGCAAAATCTTCTGCCCATAATTTCTAAGAGCCCTGAGACAGTGTTTTACATGGGTTCAAGAATAAGACTTATCTGTGGCCACATGGATATCTGTTGCTAAAGTTTCTGTTGTCTTTGAACACTTCTGGTACTAATCGTTGAGCCAGTCCCATTAAACCAGGTCACCACCACCTTCTACTGGACATTTTCATGAGCTCCATTATGGCCCTCAAGGACTTAAAATGCTTCTGTGTTTTCTGGAGACTTCAATACTGCAAAATTTTGTCATATTTCCTGCAGAAGTGGAAACAAGCCCTAATCACTCACCTATGGCTTATACTTTGTGACATAATAAAGACTTTAATGCACTCCTATTTCTGCTTATGGTGCTTTCCAAGAGGAGTCCATGAAGCTGCATTAAAGAATGAATCTTCCAGATAGGTAAGACATTGTCCCCTCAATCCAAGAGTGACATCCAAGATATAGCATGACATGGGCACTGACCAATTGAGACACTGGCCTAGTGCAATCTAGCAGTGCAAACGGACTAAAGAGTAGCCTAGCCAAACTCCCTTGTCAGTGATACCCAAATTTCTTGACTTGAATGTGAGTCTTTCTGCCAAAACCCTTATGCAAATCACCTCTTGGCTGCCTAAACCCACTGATTTGCTAGATATGCCAAGACATGTTTGAACCCCAGTGATGGACAAAGCTTTGTCCTACTGTGCTTCTCTGTTATATTTGAATGCATTTAATTAAAAAAAAGATACTCAAATTATATTGTAGCGACAGCAATGGAAACACGTCAAATGTAAGGAAAAAAATTCAGAAAACCAACAAATGAGTCAAACTGTTTTTATTTTTAGACATTTCTGCTGAGTCCTTGTCCATACGCAAATATTTTATAAAATTGTAATTTTAATAATTATAATTAAGTTTCACTTTTCAAATGCAATTGTATAGCTCATTTTGCCAACATTTTTTTGAGTTCCTACTATGCGTACAACATCAACTGAGATCAAGAGAAATGCTTTACATCTCCATGTAGTTTCATTTACGTGGGAAGAAAGTTAGCTCTAAAGGCAAACCATAAGGATGTCCTCTTTGGGTGACTCCTGTTGATTTTTTTTCACTTGATGGCTTCTGTGGTGCTGAGAAGTACTTTACTTTAACTCCTCTCATGCCAGATTAAAAGCTTAACCTCCACAGAATAGTTTACTTACTTAGAGTTCCAGCTGACTTGGCTCTGTAAGAGATTTATTTGTAATTCTAAAAGGGCCCATGCCCTTTTGACCTTGAAAATATTTTAAAAATGCAGATAAACAGACCATAGTTAGGTTTTAAAACATATACAGCAGTTTTCTCAATCTGCTGCAAGCAAATGTGTTTCCCACCGTATCTGGCATAGTTCTGGGCACACAGCAGACACACAATAAGCACTTCCTAGTGGAATGAGGATATTCAATATTGGGTCTTTTCGTGTGTTTTCCAACACACACCAGCAACATTTATTAAATTTATAGAATCACAGCCAAAGAGTTTAATGATAAAAATTAGGATAATTAGATTACTTTTGATAAAAAGATTAAATCGGAAAACTGTATTCAAATTCCCAGAAAATGGCTAGAGAAAGTAGAATACTGATGGGAGGATGTGCTCAACTGTCTCAGACTTGTTAATTCCTCAAAAAGGAAAAAAAAAAAAAAACAAACCCGAGTTTTTACTGGCTCCATAATATGGACTTAATATAATTTACCTAACTACACCTCTATTATCTGATACTGTTTTCCCTTATTTTCTCTAGGTCTGTATCTTACATGCTAATCTTTTTTTTTTTATAAGATTTTATTTATTTATTTAAGAAAGAGACAGAGAGAGAGAGAGAGAACACGGGGTGAGGGACAGAGGGAGAAGCAGACTCCCTGCTGAGCAGGAAGCCAGATGCAGGGCTTGATCCTGGGAGTCCAGGATCATGCCTGAGCTGAAGGCAGATGCTTAACCGACTGAGCCCCATTATACGCTAATCTTATATGCATAATTTAAACTACCTCCAGTTCTCTAAACACTTTGCTACATACATTTCTGGCATTGCATAACCTCTTCTCTTTGCCTGTATGTTCTTCCCTTTACCCATCTGGAAAACTGACCTTTGTTTAAAATAGTTGTCTACAAATTGTCTGAGTTAGTACTTTCCTCAGACTCCCAAATGCTCCTAAAAGAGTAGTGAGAGTTATTTAGGGAAATAGTGGTTATTTTTCCTAAATTATTACTTTTATCTTCAAGTACTAGACACTACTAATGAATACACCATATAAATTATAAAAATAATGACAACAGACATGGTGAGATATTAATGGATTTACAAAACTGAGCTATAAATCCTCTCCCATAAAAATCCTTCCTGGTCTGATATCTGGTACTTTCTACTACCGTCTGGTTGGGATGTTATACAGGAACACACATTCCATGGGGCCTTGTGCTTTCTCTCCCATTCCCTTTCAGAATTCGATCTTACAGGTACAGCAGTGAAGTCAGAGCAATGATGGCCATCCTGATGGCCACAACCAAATGAGGGAGACAGGCCCTCTGCATTCTGGAATTTCTTTTTGGATAATCCATGGGACTTTAATATTTTGTTTTTCAAGTTTTTCCCCTTCCGAGTTAAGATATTCAATAGCTAAGAAACAGAATGCCATTTGTCTTGTAGCTTCCACATTTTTTTCTTAATTTTTTTTATTAACATATAATGTATTATTTGTTTCAGGGGTACAGGTCTGTGATTTATCAGCCTTACACAATTCACAGCGCTCACCACTGTAGCTTTCACATTTACCATCAACATTATATAAAGACCTAAAGATTTTTATTCTATTCTGAAATGTGAGTCCTATTTCCATGTGAAGAAAATTTTGACCATTTCTAATTTGGTTCCGGCCAATGAGTTCCCAAACTTTTCTTCTGACTGAGAACGTCTCAGGCATATGTCTATTACATTTTAATGCACATAAAACAAGGCTGAATTACCTAAAATTTGTTGTAAAGAAGTATGCTTAAGTCAAAGTATTCAATCAACACATACTGTTTTAATTCAATTCATGTGAATATACTCACACTGGTCTAAAAAAGCACTTCTCAAAAAATGTGAATAGAAATGGGCTAAAATAATATTTTCAAAACATTTCAAAATAATCTAATCCCAGTAATATATTAACAACACAATTATGCTCTCTTAGGAGGGCATATGTTACAAGCATAAAACACCGAAAGGATTCATCATGGGTTCGTTTTCCTTTTATCTTAGATTGTACACTCCTTTGGATAGTAAGATTACAGTATTTATATATGACCTGTCAAAGACTTGATATGAAACTTTTAATACAACCAGAGTCTACTTCACAGTGGCAATATTTCAAACACAGTCCTTTTTCTTTTTGGGTAGTCACCCATTACTTTCCCATTTGGGCACACCTCATTGGTTGGAACAAGCATGTCCAAGTATGCTGTGTCTTTTGACTCTGGGCACATTTCAGCAACCACACAAGTGTGTTCCCTCAGAGGCTTTCTTACAGTGACAATGTCTTATATCTGCTAAAATATCTCCCATAATTCTCTACTGTCTACAAGACAGAGCCCAGATTTCTTGGTGTAACATTCAAAGCTCTGTCAAATCTGGCCTCAAACTACCTTTTAAACCTTATCTTCCATTAGTCTTCTCTATCAACTTTCTGTTCTAGCCGAACTGGTTTTTCTGAAGTCAGAAGAACAGACTCACATTGCCCTTAGTTGCTCTGATAGCTCCACCCACCTCAGAGTTTACTAAGAAGGGGGTTTGTTTGGTGGGTTGGAAATGAAGTGGTGGAAAATAATTTACTTCCTCTCTCTTTTCTTCATCTTCAAATCCTAGTACTCATCCTTTAAGATCCACTTTAGATTGAAGTGTTTTCCACTCATCTATTATAAGTAGGACAGCATGAACAGTTAGTTTGAGCAAATTATGTTCTGCCTCATACATCTTTTATGGATTCAAAATGTGATTTTAAATAATTATTTATTTAACTTTCCATGTGTTTGTTTCCCTAGAAGATAAGCTCCCCAAGGGCACAGAACCATTCATGTGGCTCATGAACCTCTTTATATCAGGTGTCTAACAGATGTCTTGCATACAGTATGTACTTAGTAGATATTGGCTAGTTTTATTAATTTAACTCACATTACAAAAGATTATCAATAAAAATGTTATCCAAAATGTTGGATAGCTTTGCTGAGAAATTTGGAGTCTTTGTTAAGAGTCCCATGCAATCAGAGGCTTTCTGAGGAATATGTGAATCACAGTGAAGAAATGAATTAGTTTGGGGATGAATTTCCTTTAAAACCAAACGAATTTATTGTAAAAATATTAAATGAAAACATTTAAAGTTAATATTTTCATCTATAATTAAATATGCTACTATATTATTTTTTTTAAGATTTTTTATTTATTTATTTGACAGAGAGAGAGAGACAGTGAGAGAGGGAACACAGGCAGGGGGAGTGGGAGGGGGAGAAGCAGGCTTCCTGCTGAGCAGAGAGCCTGATGCGGGGCTCGATCCCAGGACCCTGGGATCATGACCTGAGCCAAAGGCAGACGCTTAACGACTGAGCCACCCAGGTGCCCCAATATGCTACTATATTAACAAAATTATTCCAATTTTTGTCTTCCTTTTCAATCTTGATTGAAATGTACGTATATTTAGCAGAATTGGAAATATGGTAACAATCTACAGTTCTATATTTTTCAATTAGTATTGTTTCTGAGTTGCTATTAGTCTTTACACTGTTACTGGCTGCATAATATGGACTTAATATAATTTACCTAACTACACCTCTATTATTTGATACTGTTTTCTCTTATTTTTCTCTAGGTCTGTATCCTATAAGCTAATCTTATATGCATAATTTCAAACTACCTCCAGTTCTCTGAACACTTTGCTACATACATTTCTGGCATTACATCACCTCTTCTCTTTGCCTGTGTGTTCTTCCCTTTACCCATCTGGAAAACTGACCTTTGTTTAAAATAGTTGTCTACAAACGTTTTTGATCTTATACCCTACTAGTAAAGAACGTTTTAATATCAGCTCCAATACAACCTGCATATTTATAAAACATATACTCTTGACCTAATGTGATATGCACATATAAGACATATACAAGAATAAAAAAGGATAAGGTATAATAAACAATATTTAAAAATTGATTTTTATTTAAGGCCTCAAACATTTTTGTTCTCACCCCTCACCCCCCTCAAAACCAGTAACACTGTCCCAGATGCAAAGTCTTTAAACATTTTGGTAACTGTGAAGACTTCACACTGCCATTAGTTACATTGTAATCATACTTAAATTTAGGGTAAGCTTTGTCTTTACCTATAGTAGATGATAACTTCTTGTTTCCAAAATTCTTCCCAAGAATTTCAAAATGTTCGGGCCCATTTCTTGTCAAATTTGATTAGCTCATACTGTTTTTACCTAACGATGTGAATGATGAAGAGTTCCTACCAAGAGTAGGAGAACATCAACTTTGCTATTTTGTTTGTTCACTTACTCTTGTGTTGTTAGTAAACTATGTCATCTATATTTGTAGGAATCATTTCAACCTGTGAGGGCTGATTTAGTTAAAAGCCAAATATGACTGAAAATCCACTTAATTAAGCACAAATAAAGTGCCATATATTGCTGAAGACCTAAAAAAGCAGGAGGGTGCCTTGTATTCACAACTCCTTCAAGGCTGTGGATTCCTCCTCTTCTTTTAGGATAGCTGTAGTGTGAACCATGTGATACCCCTTCCTCTGACACACGGTCTGAGAAGGATGCCAGTATCTACCAGTTAATTAATCATTAGAAAGGTAATTTCTTACTTTTTAAAGATAAAAATAAGTTTTAATCGTTCTAACACCACAAAAGTTTATCCTGTACACCCTCTGGGTGCATACACTCAATTTTGGAGACCAGTAGTTTAAACACAGCTTAGAAAATGATCTCTGGGACATCTCTCCCCCATGCTAGTCCATAGATGCCCAAATGACTACGATGTTGTCTGTTTACATGTCTCCACTCCACAAAAGCTCCTCTAAAACTGGAACAAGACAGTAGTCCTCTCTGAATGGCTTTATCTTAATAGTTCTGTATTCTTAGCCCTTGGCACAGTGCCCTACAGAGAGATCAGGAGCTGAATAAATGATCACTAAATAGATTTGAGTGGAGCTTCTTCTGGATTGTTTCTTTTGGATGATTCTCTAAGGAGATATTCCCAGGGCAAGGGCACAAGAATTAGGCTATAGGTTTGAAAACTACTTTCTAGTTGTGTAAACTTGAACAAGTTACTTCTCTTGTTCCTCAGTTTTCTCATCAGTCAAATAAAGAAAAATTTCATCTACTATATAAGGGCTTAGTGCCCCAAACACCTACCACGGTCCTCAGATGAGTTAACTTTTATTGTTGGTAAAGAGTATAATTTTCATTAAAGGGGACTCTTTGAGTGGAAAGGAGAGACCAAAAGTGACAAAGACAAGAAAGGATCAGAAAATCTCCAGAAACAACAAAACAAGTATTAAAATGGCAATAAATACGTGTCGATTAATAATTACTTTGAAATGGATTAAACATGCCAATCAAAAGACATAGGGTGGGGATGCCTGGGTGGCTCAGTTCATTAAGCGTCTGCCTTCGGCTCAGGTCATGATCCCAGGGTCCTGGGATTGAGCCCCACATCCAGCTCTCTGCTCAGCGGGGAGCCTGCTTCTCCCTCTGCCTGCTGTGCCCCCTGCTTGTGCACACGCTTGCTCTCTCTCTCTGACAAATAAATAAATCTTTGAAAAAAAAAAAAAAAAAAAAAAAAGACATAGGGTGTCAGAATGGATAAAAAACAAGACCCATCTCTATGCTGCCTACAAGAGACTCATTTTAGACCTAAGGACACCTGCAGATTGAAAGTGAGGAGATGGAGAAACATTTATTATGCAAATGGATGTCTAAAGAAACCGGGAGTAGCAATACTTTTTTTTTTTAAAGATTTTATTTATTTATTTCAGAGAGAGAGAATGAGAGAAAGCACATGAGAGGGGGGAGGGGCAGAGGGAGAAGCAGACTCCCTGCCGAGCAAGGAGCCTGATGCGGGACTCTTGATCCTGGGACTCCAGGATCATGACCTGAGCCGAAGGCAGTCGCTTAACCAACTGAGCCACCCAGGCGCCCCGAGAGGAGTAGCAATACTTATATTGGACAAACTAGGCTTTAAAACAAAGACTGTGGGGTGCTCGGTAGCTCAGTCAGTTAAGCATCCAACTCTTGATTTTGGCTCAGGTCATGATCTCAGGGTTGTGAGATCGAGCCCTGTGTCGGCTCCACCCTGGGCATGGACCCTCCTTGAGATTCTCTCTCTCCTTCTCCCTCTGCCCCTCCCCTCCTGCTCTCTCAATAAATAAACAAACAAAGACTGTAACAAGAGACAAAGAAGGGCACTATATAATCATAAGGGGGACAATCCAATTGTAAATATTTATGCACCCAACATGGGAGCACCCAAATATATAAAAGAATCAATAACAAACATAAAGGAACTAATTGATAATAATACTATAATATTGGGGGACTTTAACACCCCACTTACAGCAATGGACAGATCATCTAAGCAGAAAATCCACAAGGAAACAATGGCTTTGAATGATACACTGGACCAGATGGACTAACAGATATATTCAGAACATTCCATTCCTAAAACAGCAGAATACACATTTTTTGCAAGTGCACATGGAACATTCTCCAGAATAGATCACATACCACGTCAGAAAACAGGCCTCAACAAATACAAAGACTGAAGTCATAACATGCACCTTTTCTGACTACAACACTATAAAACCAGAAGTCAACCACAAGAAAAAAATCTGGAAAGACCAAAAATACATGGAGGTTAAACACCATGCTACTAAACAATGAAAGAGTCAACGAGGAGATCAAAGAAGAAATTAAAAAAAAATATATGTGGAAACAAATGAAAATAAGAACACAAAAGTCTGAGACCTTTGGGATACAGCAAAAGCGATCCTAAGAGGGAAGTGTATAGCAAAACAGGCCTATCTCAAGAAGCAAGAAAAATCTCAAACAACCCAACCTTACACCTACAAGAGCTAGGAAAAGAACAACAAATGAAGCCTAACACCAGCAGAAGGAAGGAAATAATAAGGATTAGGGCAGAAATGAATGATACAGAAACTAAAAAAACAAGAGAACAGATCAATGAAGACAGGAGCTGGTTCTTTGAAAAAAATAATCAAATTGAGAAACCTCTAGCCAGACTTGTCAAAAAAGAAAAAAGACCCACATAAATAAAATCACAAACGAGAAAGGAGAAATCACAACCAACATCACAGAAATACAAACAATTATGAGAGAATATTATGAAAAACTATATGCCAACAAATTGGACAACGTAGAAGAAATGGATAAATTCCTAGAAACATAAAAACTACCAAAACTGAAATAGGAAGAAACAGAAAACTTCAATAGCCTGATAACAAGCAAAGAAATTGAATCAGTAATAAAAAAACTCCCAACAAACAAAAGTCCAGGACCAGATGGCACAGGTGAATTCTATCAAACATTTAAAAAGAGTTAATACCTAGTCTTCTGAAATTGTTCAAAAACACAGAAAAGGAAGGAAAAGTTCCGAATTCATTTTATGAAGCCAGCATTACCCTGATACCAAAACTAGATAAAGACTCCCCTAAAAAACAGAGAACTACAAGCCAGTATTTCTGATGAACATGGATGCAAAAATTCTCAATAAAATACTAGCAAACCAAATCCAACATTACATTAAAAAAAATCACTCACCATGATTAAGTGGGATTTATTCCTGGGTTGCAAGTGTGGTTCAATATTCACAAATCAATCAATATGACACACCACATTAATAAAGGAAAGGAGAACAATATGATCATTTTAACAGATGCAGAAAAGCATTTGGCAAAGTACAACATTCATTTGTGATAAAAACTCTCAATAAAGTAGGTTTAGAGGGAACATACCTCAACCCAATAAAGGCCATATGTGAAAAACCCACAGCTAATATCATACTAAATGGGGAACAAGTGAGAGCTTTTCCTCTATGGTCAGGAATAAGCAGGGATGTCCACTCTCACCACTGTTATTTAACACAGCGCTGGAAGTCCTAGCCACAGCAATCAGATAGCAAAAAGAAATAAAAGGCATCCACATTGGCAAGGAAGAACTAAAACTTTCATTATTTGCAGATGACATGATACCAACATATAGAAAACCCAAAAGATTCCACTAACAAAAACCTGCTAGAACTGATAAATAAATTCAGTAAAGTCACAGGATACAAAATCAATATACAGAATCTGTTGCATTTCTATACACCGATAATTGCATTGCATTCCTATACACTAATAATGAAGCAGCAGCAAGAGGAATTAAGAAATCAATCCCATTTACAACTGCACCAAAAACAATAAGATACCTAGGATTAAACCTAACCAAAGAGAAAGACCTGTACTCTGTACTCTGAAAACTATAAAACCCTGAGGAAAAAAACTGAAGATGACACAAAGAACAGGAAGACATCCCATGCTCATGGATCAGAAGAATATTGCTGAAATGTCTATACTACCCAAAGCGATCTCCACATTTAATGCAATCCCTATCAAAATACCACCAACATTTTTCACAGAGCCAGAACAAATAATCCTAAAATTTGTAGGGACCACAAAAGACCCCAAATAGCCAAAGCAAACTTGAAAAGCAAAGCTGGGGGCATCACAATTCCAGACTTTAAGTTATACTTCAAAGCTATAGTGATCAAAACAGTATGGTACTGGCACAAAAATAGACATACAGATCAACAGAACAGAAAACCCAGAAATGAACTTCAACTATATGGTCAATTAATCCTCGACAAAGCAGGAAAGAATATCCAATGGGAAAAAGACAGTCTCTTCAACAAATGGTGTTGGGAAAACTGGAGAGCAACATGTAGAAGAATGAAACTGGACTTTCTTACACCAAACACAAAAATAAATTCAAATATTAAAGACCTAAATGTGAGACCTGAAACCATAACAATCCTAGAAGAGAATACAAGCAGTAACTTCTTTGACATCAGCTACAGCAACTCCTTTCTAGACATGTCTCCTGAGGAAAGGGAAACAAAAGCAAAAACAATTGGGACTTCATCAAAATAAAAAGTTTTTGCACAAAAAAAGAAACAATCAGTGAAATTAAAAGGCAGTCTACAGAATGGAAGAAGATATTTGCAAATGACATATTGGATAAAGGGTTAGCCTCCAAAATCTGTAAAGAACTTATAAAACTCAACATCCAAAAAAAATTACTTACATTTCCTGTTAGATTATTTTCCTGTGGAACATTTATCAAAATTATTGACCAAGGGTGCCTCTGTGTCAGTTTATTAATTCCTAATAAAATTGAGCAATTTCACTTTTTTCTTTGGTTCTTCTGCAATCCTACCTTTGTGTTTTCTTCTTAAGTGTTTTGTTTCTTATGTAAAAGTGGAAAATGAAGATGTTACTGGAAAGCATGGAGACAATAAAGATCATCCAAAATGCCATCAAAATGAGTATTTCCAGACATCTGTGTGTGCTTGCCAGATAATTTTATGTAAATGAGATAAACAATGTTATTTTTGATGGAAGGCAGAGTAATCTAGCAGAAAGACACTCAGGTGTAAATCCCATCCCAGCTCTTTTATTTTTAAGAATTTATTTATTTTAGAGAGAAAAAGAGAGCGCGTGCACATGCACAAATGCAAGTGGGGAGAGGGGCAGAGAGAGAGAATCTTCAAGCAGATTCCCTGCTGACCATGGAAACTGATGCGGGGCTTGATCCCACAACCCATGAGATCATGACCTCAGCAGAAACCGAGAGTTGTATGCTCAACCAACTGAGTCACCCAGGTGCCCCTCCCGCTCTGCCTTCACTGATCATGAGACCTCGAGCGTGTACTTATCTTTCCCTCTGTGTATTAAAAGAAGGGCTAATAATACCTATCTCTTGGGGTTTTGAGAGAAATTAAGTAAGTACTCAATAAATGTGTTTATTTTCCCTTTTTTCTTAATCTTTGACCTTGATATTGGAGGGCTTTCCTAGAGTTCATTACTAAACAACTCTTGTTTATCTCATAGTATTTGACTACAAGTATCTGGAGCAAAGAGACCATATCTTACTAAATTTTGACGACCAGCACCCAAAGTTTAGGGGTTTAATATATGTTTGCTAAATAAATGAGGTCCTCAAAGAAGAGTTTCCCTGTGGACTTCTATTTGGAATGGGTGACTCTGGGTTCATTTAATTAAACTGCATCTCATATCCTATTTGCCATCTTTATTCTTAAGCTTGCCTATATTTTCTCCTAGTTTCAATTAAAAATGCAGCTACATCGGGGTGCCTGGGTGGCTCAGTTGGTTAAGCGTCTGATTATTTTTTTTAAAGAATTTTATTTTAAAAAATTTTATTTATTTGAGAGAGAGAGAGAGAACACAATGGGAGGGGCAGAGGAAGAGGGAGAAGGAGACTCCCCACTGAGCAGGGAGTCCAACATGGGGCTCAATCCTGGGACTGCAGAATCATGACCTTAGCCAAAGGCAGACTATTAAACAACTGAGCAACCCCGGTGCCCCTAAGCGTTTAATTCTTGATTTTGGCTTGGTTCATGGTCATGAGATCCAGCCCCAAGTTGAGCTCTGCACTCAGCAGGAAGCCTGCTTGAGATTCTTTCTCGCTCTCCCTTTGCCCCTCCCCCTGCTCATGCAGGCACTCTCTCCCTAATAAATAAATAAATCTTAAAAAAAAAAAAATGCAGCTAAGTGATTTTAAGCAAGTCACTTACTGTAGTGTACAGTTTCCTCATTTATAAAAACAGAACAGTTTCATACTAGTACTTCCTAAACTTTATAAACATGATAGTACTTCCTAACTGCAAACTGCTATACAAATTTGTTATTACTACAGAAGTTAGCTCATTGTGCATTTTAATTCATAATTATTATCTTGGGGACACACTCATCAACCTCTTTTTTTCCTACTATACTACCTGTTCTGTACCACCCAGCTTTCCTACATTTAACTTTTTCTAATCCTTTGGTTTATTGTTACTGTGGCTCAGAATCACTGATCTCTGCAAGGGAGCATTTGATGAGCCCTGGAGGAAACCAAACTAGAGATAGGTTCACAACAAGTCACACACAGTTCAAGATGTAAGGCTTAGACTTCAAGATAAAGCAAGACAGACCAGCAGAGGTGAGGACCGCATTTGAGACAAGTATGGAGTAGAGGCTAGGAACAGGAGATCTGATTCCTCGCTCTGTTACTTTAGCTAATTGACTTCAGGTAAGTTAGTAAACCTTTCTGGCCCTACATTTTCCCATCTGAAAAGTGGAGGTGGTAACAGTACTTACATCATAGTATTATAAATTTGAGGTAATATGTGTGAAGCACTTAAGAACAGTGCCTGGCACATTGTAAACACTCAGTAAATATCAACTATTATAATTATTATAAACTGATCAGTGGTTGACAACAGGTGGAAGGTAAAGCAAGAGTTTGGAAGTTCAGAGATACACTGAATGTTAATTTCAGCAGTTCTGTATTTTCTCATTACCTTCTCACTTCTTAAGCCCTTCTAGACTGAAATACTTCTTTTCCTTAAAATTTCCCTGAGTCAGATTTTTTTAACAGCATCAGTTCAAAATATTTGAAGGCAGTAACAGTAAGGCTACTAATCAAACTTAAGTCTATTTTTCTACTTTATTGTATATAGAAGAACAGCCATGTTTCCAATTTGTATAACCTAAACATTTGTTATTCACTTTTCCTGCTGGTATAACTGGAAGTAGGGGTATGGAGTAAAGAGGAAGGCAGGATTTAAAGCTTTGCTTCACAACATTTTAGGTGCTAGAGGCAAAGGTCTTTCATAATGCCATGGAGAGACATTACCTGACAAAGTTGCCATGCACTGAGTTTGCTTTCAACATTCTTTATCCATTTCTGTGACATCCAGAGACCTTATGTTTTCTTTTAACTGCAAAGAACAAGAGCCTCTATTGGCTATAAAACCTATGCTCAGGTTTGACATTACAAATTGCATGCCGGCCATGTCTATTCCTGGTTGTTTTTAGTTTGGCCTGCAGGGTTCTGAATATCGGTTGCCAATACTTAAAAATCCGAAGATTTCACACAAAAATCCAGCTTTAGGGTTTCTCTTGGGGGGAAAAAACCATATATCTCAGAACAATGGACCCACATTCTTGTGAGCAACAATCTGCTAGTGCTTAACAGCTGCTCCTTTCAGTTACAGCATGGACACTAATTTGTCACATTTCTTATTATTCTCCATTGTTTTACACCAGGCCAGTTTCATTCATTTGCTTTATTTTTCTGCCCGCCCGCTCCCCATAGATTTGAGTCTGCAAACCCTACCTAGACTTTTCCTGTCTCCCATCAAAGCTTACTTTGTTCCAAGTCCCTCACAAGTTTTTCAAAGCAATAGCTAAGTAATCTGATCAACTATGAGTATTTTTACATGTGCTTTCTGGAGATAGTATCTTCATAAAAAGGATGACTCTGCAGGTGGAAATTACAGGCACCACGGGATTACAGTCAGGATGGCAACTGTCCACTCTACTTTTTCTGCTATCCTGGCTTATCCATACCTCACTGTCCTCAGGCAAACCTAAGGAATTGGTTCTCAGTAGAACAATGAACACCGGCCTATGTGAGAAACCTGCTCAACTAGTACTTTTATTTATAGACTGTCCTAGTTCCAAAGGACCGAAAGCTACGGGCTATTCTGACTCCCCGCTTCCTCGGAGGCTTCAGGATATCCGGCCTGACGGCATTTCCCCATACCTGTTTTCGGGGCTCGTTTTGCGCTGGGCAGTCGCGCCCAAGGAGCGCGCGCATCCAGCATGAGCTCATTTCTCAGGGGCGTTTCCAGAAGGCTCGGCCTGGCTGCGCACACCAGGCGCAATCGGCCTCACTTTGTCAATGGCCACCGCTGCTGGGCAGCGCGCGAGCGCCCGGAGGCGCTGCCTCTCTAGAAGCTTTGTTCCTACTTTAGCGTCTGAGAGTTCGCACCCGACTGGGTAGGCGGCTCTGGACCCGTCTGGCCCTTTCGGGGAAGACGCTGGTTCTTCCGACGCGCTATCCCGGGCGGAGGGAAGGCTCCAGCGCGCAATTTTAGCCGCGTCGGGCCGAGAGACTCTTGGTGGGTGGGGAGAGCCCCTCTAAACTCTCTGTTCGCTTGAGCGCTCCGAGCCCAGCGCCGCTGACCGCAGCAGTTTCGGACCGGCTGCGCAGACTGCCCGCGCTCCCTATCTGCGGTTTCCACAACGGCTGACAGAAGCCGCAGACAAGCCCATCACACGGTCCGCCACGACCCCACGAGCGAGGTTCTCCGCTCTTGGGACCGCCGCCGGAGGGGGAAGGCCAATCACACCGCATCTAGGTCTTGCGATTGGACGGCACTGAGTGCTGATTGGCTGCCGCTACGGGTTTCAGCCTCCCTCCTTTTCCCTTTTGCCCCCACTCCAGTTCCAAAGCTTCAAGCCAATGAAAAGGCGCTTTATAGACGCCCTCCCTTTTCTTTCTTCTTCTCCCCACCTTGGCGAGGGAGGAGACGTTCTGACTGGCCATCCAGTCCTCGGAAGCCCCCCTCGCTTCACCAATCACTGAGGGAGGTACACTCCCAGCGGAGTTTTCGGCCAATTACAAGGCGGCCGCGGCGCCCAGCCGTGCTGTTTCACCAGTGACTCCGGGTTTCACTGTCCTTAACTCTTCAAGCTTTTTCGTGAGGGCCGGCCACTGTGATTGGCCACTGCTGCCACTGTCGAATTTCTCCTCTAGCCAGCCATGGAATGAGAACCCACCTTCTTCTCGTTCGGCTATCTTCGGCACTTTCCGCTTTTTTGGGCGTGGATTTCTAGGGACACTTTCTAATTGGTTTCTCGGGTCGATCGGCTTTTTCCGGGAGGAGTCGCAAACAATCGACGTCCGTGATTGGCTCTTCTCCGGCTTCGGCTCCCCAGCCGAAGCGGGCGGGCGCGGACCTCGGCCGGCGATTCCCAGACGCCTGTTACGCGGGTAGCGGGGCGCTGGGCGGTGTAAGGCTGGGTGGGGGAGGAAGGAGGCGGAGGACGAGTAGGAGGGGGGAGGGGGAGTGGGGAAGAGCTAGGCGGCTGCGCAGACGGCGCTCCTCACACAGAGCAGCCCCCGACCCGGGCGAATGCAGGCTTGTGCTGCCGCCGCCACCACCGCCGCCGCCGCCCGGGCCGAGTGACAAAGGAAGGAAGGAAGCGAGGAGGAGCCGGCCCCGCAGCCGCTGACAGGGCTCCGGGCTGGGGGCAAAGCGCGGACACTTCCTGAGCGGGCACCGAGCAGAGGCGAGGGGCGGGAGGGCGGCCGCGCTGGTGCCGCGGACGGGGGAGGGGGCCCCAAGGGACGGAAGCGGTTGCCGGGTTCCCATGTCCCCGGCGTATGGGGAGCAGTCGAGGATCCGCTGCCTGGGGTCTGAAGGGAGCTGCCTCCGCCACAGCCGCCGCCATGGCCGCTGGATCCAGCCGCCGCCTGCAGCTGCTCCTGGCGCAATGAGAAGAGGAGCCGCCGCCACCGCCCGCCTCTGACTGACTCGCGACTCTGCCTCCCTCCAGTTCGTCGGGCCCCCGCCGTCAGCCCGCCGGATCCCGCCGCTGCCGGAGCCGCAGCGTTTCCCGTCGCATCTCCGAGCCACCCCCTCCCTCTCCCTCCCTCCTTCCCATCCCCCTTCTTTTCAAGCGTGAGACTCGTGATCCTTCCGCCGCTTCCCTTCTTCATTGACTCGGAAAAAAAATCCCCGAGGAAAATATAATATTCAAAGTACTTATTTTCAATCAAGTGTTTGCCCCCGTTTCACGTGATATATATTTTTTAAGACTCCCCCCTTCCTTTTTCCCCTCCAAGGAAGGGGAGGGGAAAGAATTGTATTTTTTTTTCCAGCCCCAAATCATCTATATGTTAAATATCCATACTGATCTGTCTTGAAGGAGAAATACATCGCTCGTTTTTTTTATAGCTGTACAAAAGGAGTGAAAAGCCAAGAGGACGAAGTCTTTTTTTTTTTTTTTTTAAATCTTCTTGTGGGAGAACTTAATGCTGCATTTATCATTAACCTAACACCCCAACATAAAACAAAAGGAAGACAAGGAGGAAGGAAGGAAAAGAGGGTGATCCGGGAAGAGAGTGATCATGTCAGGGCGGCCCAGAACCACCTCCTTTGCGGAGAGCTGCAAGCCAGTGCAGCAGCCTTCAGCTTTTGGCAGCATGAAAGTTAGCAGTGAGTATTGATTTTATTTTACACCCCTTCTCCACCTCACCCTTAAGATAAAAAGCCTTTACTAACCAGGATCTTAAAATATTAAACCTCCTGCTAATAATAATCAGAGGTGGTGGAAAAGGGCAAAAACCTGTCTCAGTCAAGGATGAGGCAGCTCCCTCTTTCCTCCTCCCATATCACCTCCCCCGGTCTCATTAACCTTGAATTGAGAGAATATGCTTTTTGTTTGGATGATTTGATTTGAAACTTGTTTCTTTTCTTATACTTTCTGTGCTGTTGGTAGTCAGCTTTACCAAGTGCTTGAGTATTTCCACATTAAAATAGTGATGAAAGTATTTACTTGCTCATCCTTTCGAATAAAGAGAAGGACAAGACGATTCAAATCGTTATGTACATTTGCAGAGTATGTGTTTTTTGAAATGAGGGTTATTTTATTTGGCTCAGGTCTCAGGGGTTATCATAGTTTCCTATACTTGCTAGAAAGGCTAAATGTCACAGTCTCCTAACATTTGTTTCTTGCCTGTGTGATTACAAAGTATTTGTTCTTGATCCAGAGATGAACTTGCTCAGTACCTAGCATTCACGTTTGGAGGGGAGCCTTGAGTTCTCCCTTTAGAAAGGGTCGGTGGGAGCTGGTAGACCCAGGAGCAGTAGTATCGCTACAGGCATTGTTTTAATTGGACACATGATTTAATGTTATCTCTTAACCTTCCCGTTTTGACATTACCAATTTACCACTATATAATTTATGTATAATCAAAAGGTAACTTGGAAGTAGGTCCAAGTTTTGATTGAGGTTTGTATTGTCATGTTGCCAGATACTAAGTTGAATGTTAATTGTCACTGACTCATCATTAAGTTCAGTTTTGGGGTGCCATCGCATTCAGCACTTGTTAAATGATCTAGAGTTCAAGGGTCCCTTCTTAGGACTATTTAAAATGCTCTTGCATTGGTTTCCTGCCACATTGAGATAAAACTATGGGTTTAGTTATAACAATATGGATTTAGACCTTTCTGTCCATAGCTTTTGCAGAAGGCTGTAGTCCTGAATATAATAGGGATATTTGAGCTTGTGTTTAGGGTTGTTGCTAGAATGTACTTTTGTACCAGATTTGTGCTAAATAGCCTGTGTTCTTGAGGTGTTTGGTATACTAAGTATCTACTCTTCCAAAGTATCTATTTGTAGATATGTTTATGTGGTATTTAGTGACAGCTTATTTAAACCATACTTGCAGAATTTGACAGAACTATCTACATTGTTTCCTTATTCCTCGAGAAAGGGGCACAGTGATGGCAAAGAAAAACTTTTGTTGCCTAGGAGAAGGAGAGAACTGAAGAACTATTTTTAAAAAATATATACATGCTTTTATGTGACATTGATTATATCCTTAAGCAACCTAAAATTATCATTTTTAATTGAGCTCAGGATTTCAATTCATGTTCGCTTTTGGACTTGCCTGAAACAGGGTAGTCTTAAGGTAGTAGCTGAATGGCAGATCAGTTTTAAAAGTTATTTATTATTTATTTTTGTGACTAGTACAGAATGCTGGGTATGTGAAGAGGGGAGCTGATGATGCATTTTTCAGAGAAGAGTCAAGCTTTCTAAGCACTTCATGGGGTCATTTGAAAGGAATATTTTAAAATTCTGGGGTAATTTTCAGCTATGATGAGGCAAATCTTATAATAGCTACTTAAGAGCCTCTTGTGGTACTGGAGTGTTTGTATGTTTTTCATCTTGGTAATATAGTTTAAAAACCACTTGAAATCAATTTTAGGCAATTATTTTATTAGATCAATTTCAGAGAGCAAAATAGAATAGCTTATAATGTTAAGTTTTTGGACTTTTCATTTTGTTTCTGATATTTTCTTTGAAAATGATTCCTTAATTCTTGGTAATGGGGTTGTTGACTGAGGATGGAGTAACTCTTGTAAAGTGCATAGGTTAAAGTGTTTAATTTTCTATTCTTATATAGATCAACTTAACATTTAAAAAATTGGAGTTCAGTGCAAATTTTGTGTTTTTGACAACCTTGACTTTAAGGACATTTTAGAAGAAAAAGGTATCATTAAACATTTGTTACAGTGCTACTGTTCTAAGGGACCCTGTTCAAGAGAGAAATATATAAAGAAATTAAAGTCCTTGGTCTCAAAAGCTTATCATTTAGTCGTAGAGGCAGGTTATGGGACAAACTATGAAAACAATATCATGATGAATGCAAGAGTATAAATACAAGTAGAAAGCTTTGTTCAGAGGGATGAAGAATACAGGGGTGAGGCCTCTGGGTTGGAGAGGAAGGACTTCCTGCAGAGATGTGTTTTAAGACAGGTGTTAAAGGAGGCAGTCGCTTGAATTGAGAAGCATAAAGGTTTCTAGATGGAAGGAATGAACAGAAGCACAGAGATGGTGATTTTTGTGTGGCAGTTAGATGATTTTTGTACTTACCAAGCAAATTGGTAAATCTGAGTTAAAGGGGCCTAAGTAGGATAATAAGAAGAGAGAGTTTGGGAAATGTGTTAACCATAGCTGATGGAGGGCAGAGGGGGCCTGTAAGAGTTTGGTTGTCATTCAAGAGAGATTGGGATTTACTGTAGATTGGTGAACAGATATTGGAAGGTGATTTGGGCAGCTGGGTTAATGGATTACAGTAGACATTAGAGCCCTTTCAGGGAGATAGTAGGGTATGTTGTGAACATGAAGAAGTATTAAATAAAATGTAAAAATGTTATGAAAATAACACATTTGAGAGATAGTGTGAATAATGAACTGGCAGGATTTTGGATTGGATCGAAGGAGAATATTTGGGAAGGAGTCAGGAGTTAAAAATAAATTCTTATGTTGTTGGTCTGGAAGACTTGACTGCTGAGTTATATTGTCGATTGTAATGGGAAAGTTGAGAAAGTGTTGAGATGAGAAGGTAGATGAGTTCACTTTTTAAAAATTTAACGTACTATAGGTCCCCTTGAAGTTTAGCAGACAGCATTTGGTTACTGGCAATGATATTTAACTTTACAGTCTATTAACTGCACAATTTCTAATTTTTCTTCACCTAGAAATGTTAGATTTGTTTTTGGGAGCAGTAAACTAATGGTTTTTATTTAAATGCTTTCTATTAAAGTCTTAAAAAAGAAATTTTTTATGTAGATTCAAAAGCCTCACCCTTGACCCTAGTTATAGCAGTTCCATGGTAATTTATAAAAAAACAGTGGAAATATTTTTTGGATTAAACTGTGACGTAGAAACTTTAGATATATATTT